CGACCATGTTCGAGACTCACATTTCTACAGCACACTGCATCTACGTAGAGTGCATATGCATGCAAATGAAGTGCTTATGTTATCAAAAAGTGCTAGCAAGAATACCAAGACTGCTTGGGCTATCAATTTGGATATCTCCTGGCACTGTTTTTACTAGAAAGCTTCCAAACGCCGAACGCAGCTACGCAGCCCTTAGATGGTGGACTAATTTAAGCCCCAATGGCAACGGATACACAAGAACGTGAAACTTAATCTCTGATATTCCCGGATCCCCAGCTGGAGACTATGCTATCGAAACAGCAGCTCGGACATTTCTGTATAAAAAGCAGTTGCAAAGAAGAATGTGAGTAGTGATGTTACATAATACCACTGTAATATCTTACTGATAGCAGGAAGGAGTAAAAGTTTCCACTCATTCAAACAGGCGAAGAAGGGCAATAAACTTAATTTTATGTCTCATTTTCCGTAGAAACGCCGAGCGTTACGCTTCCAAAACTTCAGCTTTCTAGCTTTCGCGGTTTTACAATCGAATCATCGCGAAAAAAAGTACATAGAGGCATATCGTTGCGCGTTCATAATGCAAAAATGCATAATAATCAATACAGGAAAATGAAAATTAAGCAACGATTATACGGAATTCTTACTTTGAGACAACGTCCATCACCTATACACCACAATCGCAATGTTCCATCTTCACCACCAGAAGCAAAAATTTCGGTTGCGTGAGGTTCAAACGACAAACTTCTCACTTGACCGGAATGACCATACATATACTGCAAATTTTTAATACCAAAAAAAAATGGCAATTTTTAGGGCATCCTGATGAATGCCTCGTTCAGATAAGGGAAGAGGGAGCTTGCGCAACATCAGCTGTAACGATCTAGAAAGGAGAGCATTCGAAAATCGAAAAAAAAAAAATCAAAAGGATTTTCCAATATAACAACTGATATATTGAAAATGGAGATAAATAACTTACAAAACTAAGCGTAGTTGGGAATGGCCGCATATCAGCAAGATTCGGAAGTTCAGGAAGCAGCGCTGCTGGATCGACGTTTAGCTTAAAGGAGATCATTCAAAAAGCATAAATATTCATTACTATATATTGACAGATGTTCAGAGCTAAGTGCCGGCATTAGCTTGCTTTTCTCAAGAGGCGAAATTGCCGCTAGCTTTGTCAGCGATTGATTACTTGTGGCAGTTGCTACTGTGTAAGCTACTTCGCTGTACCTTCTCCCCGCTGCAGAGTGAAAACAGGCCCGGACGGGGAGGGGTTCATTTCAAAAGCATCAAATAATTTAACTCAACTGACTTCTCGATTATCGATTCACAACTTAAATTAGTGAAGAAGTTCACATAAATTACCCGCTTATCACTAAACTACTAAATAAACAAAAGCTAAATTAAACTACTCAAAAACACGCTTACAATCACCAAATTTGCGAAATTTATTCTTTCTACGAACAAATCAGCTCACTTTCATTTTCCTCTGCCGTGGCACCAAATATAAGTCAAGACAACGCTGATAACGGTCGTTGTAAAATCGATCGTAGGCGGGTACTTCCCTCAATGAACCATATTTTTGGGGGACGAAATCCATGCGCCGATCTTCAGGTTCAGTTTCCTAAAAACTAAGAATATGCCTTTGCAAAAAAAAAA